CCCCAAAACCCCAAAACCCCAAAACCCCTACTTGCAAAATTTTAATTGGATTGATGAAATTAAGAATAACAATAGCTTCAAAATATTGATTTTTTCTTCTGATTGAGTGCCTAGGCCATAGATCTAAAATTTGTGGATTCCTAGTTAAGCATTTCTCCCTTTTTCTCAATGTTATCAATCATCTAAGAGTTTTCTTTCATCTGACTTAGATTTTGCTGCATCTAGTTATTTATTTGTCCCAATTATGAGTTTGGTGTTCTTGATCTCTTTTTATCGTCTTTCATTTCTTCCTTACTTTCTTCATCATCTTCATCTTGGAATGTGGATTTTCTACCTCTTTTACTTTAAGAGGGCCTCATTTATAGTTGACCTCCATTATTACTGGCATTTTTATCTAAGGCTCCTTTTATTGTTATATACTTTTTGAATATTTTGCCCATTCCTGTTGGCTTCTTGAAAATAATCTCAGGCTAAATCATATTCTGCCTAATTTCTTCAAACATACCAGAATACTAATCAAATATACTCTCATTGCTTTGCTTTTTTATTTCTTAATCAAGTTCATAAATGAGGAAATTGTCTTTCCCAATACCATATATAAGATTATTGATAAATCTGTAGTCTTAAAATTTATAAAATATCGGAATCTAGAATGATGCAAAGGGTTGTAAAGAGAAGGTATCAAGCATCTAAAATATGTTATCTTGAATCATTAGTAACATGGAAAACTTTTCCTTGACTATCATATATCCAAATCTCTTCAGCTTTGGCATTTTAGATGTTACCTTTTTAAAGTAAGAGGCTTTTATAGTTGATTAGTCCTTTTTAGAGATACAGTAAAGATTCTAAGATGTTAAAGCATAGAAAACATGAGTTTTTGAGTCTTCAATCTGTGAGGGTAAATCCTCAATTTGAACAAATTTATAGTCCTTGGAGGTCTTAGAGTCAACTCTAACTGTTTTGATTTTCTTTTTTTCATGATCAAATACTGTGTAATGACTGTTTTTATAGCCTATAAACAATAAATCACCAGCGCTATTAGAAGCAGAAAGGCATGTTACCCTACCTACATCAGCTTCAGTGTCTGGCTATATCTTCATTTGATAAGATCTGGTGACTGTGCTTCAAAACTACATTACCGTTATCTAAGCCTATAGCGAAATATTCCTCATGCTTGCTATTATATACAAGAGATTTTGTTACAATACTTCTTTAATCCTTGAGTATTCTTGTTTACAAATTGTTAATTGATGTTATCACGAAATTCTATCCGGCAGCTGTAGTAATGATAAGGAGCTTAGCTTTTAAGTAGAAAAACATGCTAACCACGAAATCTTCTTAATTTTCAAGTTTCAATGGAATTTAAGTGATTAACTCGCATTACTCACTATAAATTCCATATATTTTGACTGTATTGCTTTTATCTACTGTAATCAATACTAGTAGAGGTGTTTATAAAAAGCTCTCCAAACCCTAACTATAGTTCAAACTGCACTATAGCTCAAGATCTGAGTTGAACTCCTTAGGAATCTTCTTTTTCATTTTCTCGTGCAAATAATTCTAAGCAAGTTAATCAGTTTGAAATATCTGCTGTAACTGTTTCTTAATATATATAGATCTGAATTCTACGAAGCATAAGAGCTAAGCCATTTCTTTAGATGATTGAATTGGGATGATTTAAGAGCACAAAATCTCTCTCTAGTGAGTGTATATTTTGTCAAAGCTGACTATTTGTGATTACGGGCTTGAATCTTACTCCTTAAAGAGTGAATCTATGTTGAAAAACTGAAATTTAAAGGACTTAGTTAGGATCAGCAAAAGCGATGCTCCATAGATATTTAAACTTCTATTTTTATCTTTAATAAAGTCAACTATTTCTATTCCTTTGATATCATACTTAGATTCTTCTTCCTTCAACTTAAATGACATCTTCTCAAGTGTTTGATATTTAGCTTAGAGCATAAATAATGCTGATACTGAGGTTTCTATTTCTTCCTCTAAACTGCTTTACTTCATAATCTGACTAATCTTAATCTGCGACTCATAATTTTTCCCAGATAGGATTAACACATCAGTTTACATAGGACTCCCACGATTACCAAACGTTGCTCCTATTTCATAAGAATACTAGCAGCTTATCACTTAATAGAAAGTACCTCTTTCAACAATATTTAACTGCATGTCATAGATGTTATTCATCTTGATGTCAATTACTTTGCTTGGTTTATGACTTTTAGACTCAGTTTTGTATAGACAAAGGCATCCACTTGAGTATCCAACCACAAACATTTCATGATTAGGAGGAATGAACTCAATAGCTAGAGCCTTACCCCTATCATTATCATACATTGAGAAATGTATTCTTTAAATATCTCTGTTCTTATTCAGTGAATACATAACAATTGCTGTATTCTAATAAGCTATTAGAAGTCTATGCATATGTTAAGGATTTGTTTTCATATCAATAACTAAATCGCTAGATTTATCAGGGAATAATATTTTATAGCGTATTACTAGAGATGATAATGCTCCTATTTCAACATCATATGTGTAGATGTTGCCATTAGACAAGCCAATAAATACGAAGCCATGATTATCAGGTTCATTTGTCAAAAACTAAGCTGTGTGAATACATGTTACCACTTGTGATCCCTTCTCTTAGATCTGACATTCAAATGGTGGAGATCGCAGATCTCTTAAGTTCCACTGTCTGATAATGTTTTTATCATCTGCACTTATTAGAATTCCTTGATTGGGCACAAATTCAAGTCTTTTTATACCAGATTGATGAGCCTCATAAATTTCATACTCATACCCTTTCAATGAGATTATCTTGATCATGTTGTAATTAGTTCCATAGGCCAACAGACCTTAGTATTTGTCATAAGCTAAATTAGTTGAAATATTTTATGGAAACCCAAAAACCTTAGATGTCATCTAAGATAGATTAAGTGGTTTGGTATTTTGATTAAAAGCTACGAGTGGCTATTTTTCTGAGTCTTTCTGCCCAAATAGTTTTACAGAAATTTTCCGTAGCATTTCAAATTATAAAATATTATAATATTTTAGCAATAATTTTGCATTTAATTAGCTATCATAGCGGGGTTTTGGGGTTTTGGGGTTTTGGGGTTTTGGGG